AGAAACAATGCATCCGTAGCCTTCTGAATGGACAAATTTACCCAAAGCCAATAGAGCCAGGGTGTGGAATATCGCAGAAACCAGGAGTAGGAATCACTTCCAGGAGAACTTTCCTTATTTAGAAACAAATGAAATCAGGAGTCACAAAGGGTATGTTAACAATGCCAAATGAGGCTCAGAAATCACTCAGAATGTGGAAAGAGAAAATGCCCATTTGATGTGGTCATTAGGATGTCATCAGTGATCATAAAGGGAGCACTTTCCGAAATGCCCATGCAGCAGAAGCCAGACTGGCCAGAGTAAGTGACAGATGAGAGATTGAGGAAGCAGGAAGCGAAGGCCCACTAGAGACTACTCATCCAAGGCAGAAAGGGGAGCACGAGGGGGTACTTGGTATGGGGAAATCTAAGTTTATTTGAAGGCTGAGGGAGAAAACCACAGAGTGGGAGTTGGTTCTACTAGAACTGAAATGTGGCGACATTCGTATTACCAAAGGTATGAGGGGAAAAAGTAAAGAGAAAGGGTTCTTTTAAAGCAAAAAATGTATTAGCTACCTATGTGGTAATATGAGAGTCAAGGGATAGGAACTTTCTCATTCCTATTTAACTCATTCTGTATCTGGAGTGCATTGAAAGTTCAGAAGCCAGGGACATATTTAATAACTACTTTTGATTTCTGATTCCTTCCTCAGTCTCTTTCCTAGATCTCTTCACAAGGAAAAGCCAAATAACTAATGCTCTTTCCAGCAGGAAAAATTGAATGAATTCATTCTCTGTGCCAAACTGATAATAAGCCCATGGTACTTACATTTTAATTAAAACATGAAAGGAGATTCAACTACCAAAATTTAATTGGCATGTTTGCGGCATACCCTGTGCCAAATTAATCCATAAAAATGCCATTCTTTGCATTTTTGAAGCTTGAATCCATTCATAAAATTAATCAGTTGTGTTCAGTTACCCTTCCTTTTCTCGAAAACTGTGCACAAAGTCATGTCTTTCCAAATCTATACCAAGGATATATACAGCATGTGAAGCTTCTAGAGCCTTAGTGCAAAATAAGAAGCAGCTTTTGAAATTCTGCTTTTCTCTTTTATGAGGGTGGTTGACCTTATACCTGGACGTGGCCACCATTTGCTGCTTTTAGTATTACTAGTCTTTTCAGTATTAGTGGGAGCCCAGGATAAATCAGGACTTACAAATTCCACTCTGGTAGTTTGCCACAGTGGTCTTGGCAGGTCACATCTGAGACAGAGGTCTTCGGATGATTTATTTCATAATGCCTGAGGATCCCGGGACCCAGCTTCTAAGGAAGAAGCGCCAGTGGTCAGGAATGGCCATTGAACACACAAATCCAAAACGTCCTGCCTCTCCTGAGTCCAAGCAATGCCTGGACGCCAATGAGCGTATCCCTGACGGTTCTCCAAAAAGAACTGAGGCAAAGAAGGGAAACAAAGAGCATGGAAAGAAAATAAACAAGAAACCAGAATATGAAACAAAAAAAAAATGTTGATGGGGGCACAGTTGAGTGACATTCAAAGTGACTTGGGCCCCACTAGGTGTTTACCACACTCCTTCATCAAACAACCATCCAGGTGCATGGTTAGCAAACCATCAGGAGAGAGAGGGGGGATTGTTACGTTCTCTCACAGTGGGGTGAAGACTTGGCCCTTGGATTCCTTTGCTTTATGTTCGTGCATTAACAGGAAGAGACAAAGCAGGATACATTTTAAATGTGTCATCAGGCCAAGGCTCCTGGGTGGCTCTGTTAGCTGTCTGACTTCAGCTCAGGTCATGATCTCGGGGTCCTAAGATTGAGCCCCAAGGTCAGGCTTCCAGCTCAGCGGGGAATCTCCCTGTCCCTCTGCCCTTCCCACCTCCCCCTGCTCCTGCTCTCTCAAACATCTAAATAAACTATTTTTAAAGATAAAAATAAATGTCTTATCAAGCCAAAAGAACAACTAAAGGAAGATATCAAAAACATCTTAATCTTATAAGAGAGCTAACAACGCAGGGCGGGGGGGAGAGTAATGTCTCTCAGCTTTGTGCATATAATTTTAGTTATTTTTTAAAACCAGACTCAAAAGGATGGGGAAGGGCAGAGGAAGAAACCACAGAAAAATTATCTTTCTAAAAGCTCTTATTTTCCCATAAAAAAAAGGACTACTGCCTTAAGGCACAATCTATCATTTAAACTTTTTTTTCCAGTTGACTATGTCTCTAAAGTTTCCATGCCCTGAAGCCTCTGAGTCTGTGTTCAAAATTAACAAAGAAATTTGTAAAAATGTCTGCTGGCGTCCTCTAATAAGTCTCTCTTTGCCTCTCTCTATTTGTTCATGTACCATGACACTAGCCATCTCTGCCTGGAAGATTGGAGGGTGAAGATGTCATGGTTGGCACACATCACTCTACATTTGAAATCTAAGTGGTCAGGGCACATTCAGGAGATCATAATGTCACCAAATTGCATACAACAGATAGGGGGAGGAGGATGAATGCTGCACTCACATCTGTTCTTCAAAGTTAAATAAAATAACAGGCTCAAATCTATATTCTTTCTACTAAAAACAAGAGTCTTGAGTCATTCATTAAGGAAATACTTTCCAATTCCTCTGGGAATTACAGCATTCTCTGACACAAGACAACCCCTTTCTTTGTTGGCACACCTCAAAAAATCTGTTACTGGGATTGTCATAATTTCAGCATTTTCTTGGGGGAAAGTTTTATTTAGCAAATAAGATGGATTGCATAGTAAATACCCTTTAGAGTTCCCAGTGTAATATGGATTGACGCTAAGGCCATTTGGAAGAACAGTTTCCCACTTACTTTACCAGTGATGCAAAAATGAGAGTATTTATAGGAGTAGATGGAAAGTTCTGGTTATACTTCTAGTGTTATCATTTTAAATCTCAAAAATATATTATTCTTTCTTTTATTTTTTATGGTCTCTATGTATTTTATGTATGGCCTAGAGTCCTCTAAGCTTAAAGTAACCTAGAGAAGAGATTGCTGTGAGCAGTAGAATCATAAACAACTTCTAGAGATTTGTAAGTGGTTGGACATTATCTGTCATCTTCTCATCTCCCCTTGCCTTTCTGCCTCCCCTGGGAGGAATACCTATTCTTGCTATGATTTTGTAGGGCTATTCCATCTGCCTGGAGTCCCAAAGCCCCAAAGGAGCACACACTCCCAATGTGTGATTTCATACATGATGTTCATACATGATGTAGACCCCAGGAATGAATTGAGTTCAAAAGCCAATTGTGACTTGTTGATTATAGAACAAAGTTTTCATCTTTCTTTTACCATCCAACTAATTCTTCTAAGTTCTCATCTTTCAAATATAGATGCTAATGCAATTTATAAGGGATGACTAATGGATGTAGAAATCCAATTGATTAGTCTTCTCTGAGTTTTATACTAGTAGTTGAATGGAAAGGTCTTTGGTTATATGTACATCCGCTCATGAAAGGGCATGAATGGTTATGGATTCCTGCACAACATATACAGAGATGCAAATGTACTTGTGTGATTGACTCAGTTTTGTTTTTGAGATCATTAACACATAATCAGCTTATGCCTACATTTCAGAAATGAATGAATTGCCTTTTGTTTATTACTGGGAATGCACAGCCCATATTGGAGGGCACCATGGTAAACCCAGTATCATTGTACCTTGCTTACTGGATCACTTTGGCAGCCCCACTTACTGTAGAGCCCAGGAAAGATTTGCCTGGCCATCATTCACTGAGTGTCTCTCTCATCTGTGACCACTACTACATATCCAAAGGCTCAGACACATCTTCCTGTCCCATGCAGATCATTCTCTGAAATCCCTTTCCAATTTCCAAAACCATCCTGTGTAAGCAATTTAACTCAATACTTGCTTCTATAAATTCTAACCCCTCCTTTAAACCGTGAAGGCCTAGGATCACCAAATACTTCTTAAGCAAAGGATGGCATTTAAAAGTATTTCCCCCAAGTTGCTAACATATATTGGCATCCTAGCAATGACCATGAAAGTATGCGTAACTCAGTCATGATGGAGACTTTACCCCTGTGAGAAGGATTCAAAGGTCCAGGGGTATTGGGTAACCGTACATCACATTCTCCTTTAAAAAAACAAAGGACTTCTTATACCTTCCAATGATTTATTCTAGATTTGATAAAAATTGACATCCAGGAATTTCCCAACTTATTTTTAGGTATATTCTGTTCTTTCAGCTTACTGCACAAAAGTATCTCTTTTCCAGTTTATTTCAAATAACCTAGTAAAATCAGTAAAATCAGTAGTGGCTTCCACATTTTAAAGTGTTTGGGGGAGATAAGAGTTCACTTACACTTGCCAAATCTCTACCCCTAAGCTGTGGGAAACCTAAAGGAGTTTGTCTGAAAATAAAAACTTCAAACTCCCAATACAGAAAAGTTTCAATCCTATCTTTTCTAATTCTTACAATTCAAAACAAGACAACTTAATTAGGCATAAATTTGTATCTCCCACCCCACCCCCGCTGACTCACACTAAATGAGGTGCATGAAGACATATTCATTACAAAGGGATATTTGTAAATTTGTAGGCAGTCCTCTACCAGCTAGTTCCAGGACGTCATCTGTTCTCTCAGACTTCTGAAACATTCATTCTAGTCAGAGTAAACATCCTCAAAGTGACAGCCAATCTTCTTGAAAGCAATCTGAATGCTTTCAGGAAAATAAAGAATTACAGAGGCATCTTTTTTTTTTTTCCATTCAGGAAATTTGTATGTTCTTTCAGCCTATGGTGATACCCTAGGAATGCCCCTGTTTTATCACTGTTAAACCAGAGACCATCTAATTTTGGAATTTTTTGTTACCACATCTTTTTATCCTCTATGCTGTCCACCAACTCTAACAGCACTCTCATTACTTACATCCACAAAATTAATTTATCATTGGTGTGTTCACATTCTCAGGGAGTGGGGAAGAGACAGGATTCATTACTCAATGGGATCTCCTTTATGCCAGGTCCAGATTATAAGGAGCTGGATGTTCACCTTCGCAGGATGGAGTCTGGATTTGGCTTCAGAATCCTCGGGGAGATGAGCCTGGGCAGCCTGTAAGTTGAAACCTCTTTATTTACACAGTGTGGGCTATATCGTTCACTGTGAATTTAAAAGAAAATCTTTGAGAGCTCAAAAAAAAAAAAAAAAGTTTGAGGTTTGTGTTCTTTTCTTGCTGGTTAAGTTCTCAAAACATGTCAGTGTCTCCATGACTGACATAAATGTATATCATCATAAATTAATGTACATACATAGGAGGGGACATTACTCTTTCTCAGAACAGATTGAATTCCTTTTAGATATTTCTATTACTTAATTGTATTGGACTCCTGGTCAGTCTGGACAGCAACACAAGGTATACACACACTATGACAAGATAAAGGCATAAATTCCAGCAGAATTACGGATGTTTGCAATCAAAACTAAAAGGGAGAGAAAACACAGGGATAAACAGAAGTAAAATCAAACTCATTGCTGCAAAATCTCAGTCAGATTCAAACTAAGGGATTACCACGAGAAGATGTTCACAAAGTGAACTTCAGTTGGCACAATATTGGGAATTTGGGATGGGCTGTGGAGAAATCAAACCCGTGCGCGCGCACACACACACACACACACACACACACACACTCCATTAGATACCAAAGTCAAGGCATAAAATAATATACAGAAAACTCAGCAAAGCTAGATTTATGAACATGTATCAAAATATCAGCCATGAAATACTCATTGTAAAAGATGTATCTTAAATGGTACCCAATATGACTAAGTCAGGTCCATGGAAGGTTTGAGTAAATGACACCCCATCCCAGCTCGTGCAAGAGATTTAAGCTATAAGCCTCAGTTTCCTCATCTGTAAGATGAAGAGCACAAGAGTGCTCTCACAGAGAGAGAGCTTTAAGAATTAAAGATACCAGATGCAAACCTCTTGGTATTGTGCCTGGATCATAGCAGTGTCAAGTGGATGTTTATCATCGTCGTCTCTCTTGTTGATCAATCCCAGAAAATAAAACTGGAACCACAAATGGGCAGAAATATTCAGAAGAAAAAAAATAATATAACAAATAAAAGGAATCTGTAAAAATGAAAACTGTCCCAAAGTGAAGTAGATTGCCTCGGTAGACAGTGAGCACTTTCCCAGGAGAAGCATCCAAGCAGAGCTGACAAGAACCAGACAGGAATCCCGGAGGGGTTTCCTCTGCCCTTTGAGCAGAGTTGGACCAGATGATTGATGAGATCCCTTACAATGAAAAATGCTAAGAAGCTGAGCTTAGACTCCAAGGGTAAGGAACTCCAGGGGGAAAAGACTTATTTCCTAATGTTGGGGGGAATACATTTGGCATCAGTCAACCACCATGTTGCTAATCCCCAGCTGCCAGAGGAGATGTGAATGTGCATTTACCATGGAGGGTCGTCTGGATTTCCCTCCTGGGTCTTGGGAGGAAAGAGAGTGCTAAGGTAAAATATAGGGCTCGGGTAACTTTGGACTTCTATTTCTCCAGAGACTAAATTATGTCACAGGCAGAAGGAACAAATCTCAGTTATATTTCGCTCCCTTTCACAGACTTGTTCCCCTCTACCTGCCACCTGATTCTGAGTTTACCGGGGATCCTCCATCACCTGGTCAGGAGGCAGCCTCACTCCTCTCTGTAACTCATCTTGCTCTGTATAGGGAGAACCAAAAATAGGATCCAGTTCCTTCACATATGTAAGCATTTAACCTCCTGGTTCCACAGGGTATTTGTCTGACTTAGTTTCCTTCAGGATTATTTTCTAACCTGTTCATAGATCTCCCTATTTAGTTTGATGGGTAGGATTTAAAATTCCTCCTAGGCAGAGACTTCGTCTTTCCCGTTTTATTCTGGATTAGTTCCCCAGAAATGATCGTGTGCCATTAGCCAAACTGGACCTTAGGGTCTCAGCCCCCCAGACTGCCAAGTCAGCCCCATGTTCCTGACAACGGCTGCAATGATTCTGAAAAATTGTGAAGTCGGAGGGAAGAATCTCCCTCACTTCAGACACTAGCTGCAAATTTGGGGGTCCCTTGGCCCCCTTCAGATTTGATAATTCACTAGAACAACTCATAGGGCTCAGGAAAGTGCTGTACTTTCGATGACAGTTTTATACTGAAGGGATGCATGTTAGGACCAACCAAAAAAAAAATGACAAAGTGTGGAAGGGCTCCACGTGCAAAGCTTCCATCATCCTCAGGGACAAAGTATCCCTCCCTCCCAGCATCGATAACAACCAGAGATGCTCACCCAAGTATTGGTGTCCAGAGTTTTTATTGGGGTCTTATTACGTGAGTATGAGTGATTGAGTCGTTGAAGTGGTTGAGCTCCGTCTCCAGCCCCTCTCCTTCCCAGAGGTTAGGCTGATGTCACAAGGTTCAAACACCCAACCCCCTAATTATGTGGCTGGTCATTCTTGTCTGGTCAGTACCCACCCATGTCCCCAAGACGTGGTGTGGCTCCTCTACCCTGAGTCATCTACTTCAGCATTAACTGTCAGGTACCCACCATGAGTCTCCTCATTAGCACAAACTCTTAGGTGCAGTGCAAGGGGCTCCCAGTGAGCAACAAAGATACCCCAGTTCCAGTGGTCTAAAGGCTACATCTCAGGAAAGGCCAGATCTCTCTTTGGGCGCAGGCTAAACCCTTTATCGTACCCCTATCTGTATAAAAGACACTAAATGAAGGCAGTAATGGTACTTTAAGGTGATCTTTATAGCGTTGTGGGGGATTCTGAGACTTTTATAGGACATTGGAGGTTAAACCCATTAGGATCCACTATAGTGATACTAACGTAATGCTTCAAACTTACCAACCTAAGGAGTCTCCACCAGAAAGACAAGGTTCCTGTTTGTTCCAGAATGCACTGACTGACACCTTTTCCCCCTTGCCAATCTGTGAGCTCCTTGAAGACAAGGACCATGTTTTGATGGCATTTGTATCTTCCAAGCCTAGCACAGAGCCTGGCATGGTAGATATTTGCTAAATGGAGCTGAAGAGAGTCCTCTTCACCAAGTCAAACTCTCACCTGAACCTCTCAGGAAAAAAAAAAAAAAGGTAATAATCTGGAGTTTACATTTTCTGAGGCCTCTAGATCCTATAGGCTCTGTAGAGTTTAAATGGTATAGTCCTAGAATCAGAGATGGTGTCCTGGCAGCCCTACAACAAGCTTTCCTCAACCTGGTGTTTTAAAATTGTGGAACACCAACTAATTTCACAGTTTTAAAATTCAGATTTCCATATTCTCTTCAAAATAGATCTACAACATTGGGCTTATCTTTCTCATTGACAACACCTGACCAGAGCCAAGGAGTGGTCCCTTTAAAACTGAGCATGGCCACAGTATGCCTGTTACTCATTTAGTCTACTGTCTTTGAGACTCCCATTCCGGAGGATTGGATTGAAAGATGAATATTTTGCACCAAAGGACTCTTTAGCCAGGGCCAGATAATGGTTTTTATAAGCCCTAAGCATATTATCAGGTCCTTTCCCTCATATATAAATACAAATAAGAGATTACACTATGAAATAAATGTGAAAGTAATAAAGTTCCATTTCTTCCCATGATGCATACTTCAGTACAGTCTTTGAAATATAAAATTCTTATTCTGCTGGAACCCCTCTCCCCCATGGGCTCATGCTTTGTCTCTTTGGGAGTAAATTAGAGCCACATTATGGAAGTATTATCTTCACCAGGGGTAGGAGGGACTGCATGATTGGTCACAGGGAACGCATGGTCGCAGCTGGCTCAAGAAGGAAGGGTCTGGCTGAAATGCGCCTGGCACTGAAGCAGTGAAATTGTTGCCCAAATGGAGCACGTATTACTCAAAATGAAGCTCAGGTGTGTGAGTGCACCCATGGTCACCGCCTGACCTCAGGACAGCTTTGCACCTTGTCAGTGCACACACTCCCAGGTTCCCAACCCTTCTGAACATAGGCTTTGACGCTAGAGTCCTTTCTTTCCTCCACTGGGCAGGCATCCAGTGTCTATGCTAAGCCTCCTTAGATGACATGGATGTCAGTTATCCTCATTGTGTTTATTTAGATTTATTCTGGTTTATTCTTTCATTGGAATGATTTAAGACACACACAGACTGCAAGTTACAATTTTGACATCTAAGTCATTAAAGTAGAAGCCTAAATCTTCCTAATGCGAGCAAAGACAGAAAGTAATGCCTTGAAGACCAGAATGTTGCACCTCAGAAAGACCGTGTCAGGAAGAGTGAGTCTACTGTAAAGATTTCCCATAAGCCTTTCCTTCCTTCTTTCCTTCATTGTAAGCCCAGAGATAATATATAAACAAAATGTGCTGGCCTCATTTAATTGCTGATGTGCTGCAAAGGGAGAGGCACATGAGGTGACTTGGTCCCCAGCCACAGGAGGTCTCATAAATTACATCAAACAGGTTTCTGCCTCCATATATATGAAATGGTACTGACATCTCAGGGCACACATTAAACACGACAACACAGCTTTCGGCAAATAATGAACAGCAGGACTCCAGCTCCAACAAAGCATATGGGCATTTTTCCTGCAAGAGGAAATACTTTTCACAGTTAAATAACAATAGAAATAGAAAGAAATGAAAAATTGCCAGAAAGGACCAAAAATGGGATTTCCAGCTGTGAGCTGAAAAGAGATGGGAAGGCATCAAGGTGGAAAGATTTAGAAAACGCTGTAATGGAGAAAAACTGTTCATAGAAAGAAGAGGTAATGATAGATATACTCCTTGGTCGGGAAATCTGTGCAAACTTGGGGAGAAGTTTCAAAAGGCAAGAGCCTGAAATCGGTTTGCTATACTGTCAACTTGTCCCAGGTTATAATTATTGCAGAGCAGACCTACTGGGGTTGGACTTGCATTAGGTAGAGCAGGAAAGAATTAAAATAAATGGAAGGGCTGCACATACGATTGTGGCTTTGTTTTTGTTTTCTTTGTGTGTGTGTGTGTGTGTGTGTGTGTGTGTGTGTGTGTGTGTGTGTTCTTTCCCCTGGCTTACAAGGGTACCAGCCACTTGAATGTGGATTGCTGTTATTTCATATCAAATACTCTGTTTTGTTCCATGCCCTCCTAGCCAATAAGATAGAGTTTTGGAGTTGTGATTCTTTTGTTTTTTAGAAAAGGCAGTTGGAAAGATAAGGCCATGGGTCAGTTGTTCCTGGGGTCAGGGACCAGTCTTTTTTTGAGCTGTTTTGCCACAAATCTCTTCCTTCAGGGCCAAAGCAATGAGGACAAGATAAAGAACTTCTTCAAGAGCAATGAAAACACTGATGAGTGGGTCTACACAAGGCTGAAGGATCCAGTGAGGCCGGAGGGAGGTGTGTGTGGAGTGAGGCCAGTGTTGGCTGGGAAGGCTCAGTGGCCAGGATAGCCTAGGATCAGACCAGAAGGGACATTTAGCCTATGCGCTTGGGGTGGGATTGGCGAGGAGAAGGGATCCCTCAAAAGACCTGCAAAGTGACCGGGGTGACGCATCAGGAAGCTCAGGCCAGGCACCAGTGGGGGAGTCCTTTGGTGGACTTAGAAGGTGACCAGTGAGACCAGAGATCCTGTGGCCATTGAACCAAGTGAGAGTACTCAGGACCTTGCTACTCAGAGTGTGATAGAGCTACAGACCAGGCTCCCCACCTTTCCGGGGAACTTGTTAAACATGTGGAAACTTAGGTTCCACCTAAGACCTGCAATAGTATCACACTCTGGAGGTGATTCCCAACGCTGTGTTATAATAAGCTCACCAGGTGATTCGCATGTACCCTAAAGTGTTAGAACTACTAGCTTAAAGGATCAGATGTCCTGAGGCATGTTCTCAATAGTATAAGCAAACATGAGAATGTACATGCACTGAAAAGCCAGTATGACTTACAGTGCGAGAAGGAACCATGGGCCATCTAGTCTCTGCAGTGACCATAGCAGACAGGAAATAAAGTCATAGAATGTCTGGAACATACAAAGCATATTCGAATTAAAAGGGAAAAGAAGTGTTTGTTTTTCCTAAAAAGAGAGATACATAGAGCTGCTTTGTATCTGCGGTGACCACACTCAGCTCAGTTCAAGTTTGTTTCATAGCTGGGTCAACCTTTGTTTGAAACAAGGTAGAAGATGGATTTATAATATAATTATATATATATATATATGTACAGGAATTATGCAACACCATATAATAAATTATATTGAAGTACTGTGTTGAATTTACCACTTGTTTGGAAATAAACACATGAGATTCGATAACATGAACAAAAATTTAAAGAGTAAAGCTTCCAGTTTTAAAAAAGTATGTCAGTTAACCTTTAGCCTTTGCTCAAACGTCAACTTCTCAGTGTCACCTGCTCTAACCACCTCTCCCACCATCTCGGCCACATGTCTGACACCCAGCCCCGCCGCCTTGCTCTCTTTTTTCACCCAGAACATGCCAGCTAGCATACAACGTACCTAACACACTTACTACACTTATTATTGTCTGACCACTAGAATAGAAGTTCTATAAGGGGCAGGGATTTGTATGCATTGTTCACTGATGACTTCCTATCACCTAAAAGTGCCCCTGGGTTCGATAAATATTTGCTGAATAAATGAATTAATTGTACTCATATGGCAGCAACACGGCAGAAAAGCTGATGTTTTCCTGGGATTTTCCCTTTGATGGGTGATAATAAGCTAGTATCACCTAGGAAGAAAGAAGATAACTCTAAGAGCATCTGTCTATCTGCTGTCTGCTTATATCAAGGGAGGAATGGGAATTTTCAGTGTGAAATTTTGGAGGATTTTTTTTGGTGGTGTTTTTTTTTTTCCTAAGTGAAATTTTGTTGTTAATCTTTTTGAAGAGGACCCAACTGCAGCCATCGCTCTTCTCAGATGTGACCCATATTTTGGTTCACTTTTATCATTTAGAGTCAGTGCTATAGCTTAAAGTCGATAATTAACCAGCCAAGATAGTTCATGAGCCATTTTGTTCTCTGAAACTAGCTATAAAGTCTCTCACTAAAGCACATAGGAAATCTGAAGGTTGAAGCATTTTAGAGGACTAACCCAGCTAAGTGTAGCATTTCGGGGGACAGTGGAGAAACATAAGCATTCATTTTAACTGGCTTTTGCACAAAGCATTTAACAAATCTTTGAAGGGCTCCTTAGTGGGTTGAGTCTTTTGAAGAATAGATTGGAACATCTTTAGAAAGAAAACTCATAAATTCTGATTGGCATAACAATAAGAGAAACAGAAAATGTCAGAAGCATGCCCAACTGCCAGCCTCTAGTAAATGGGGTCGGAGCGTTGCAGGGAATGAACCACTCCATAATCTGAGGCAGGATTGTGAGGTTTTCTTTGTGACAGCAATAACGAATCACTCATCAGAGCACTAATAATCAATGTAGAAGCAATCTGCCCCTAGCTCACCCCCAGGAACAGGGAGAAAGTAACTGTAGTGACAGAGAATTTTCATTTCTATGGATAAAGAAAGCTATTCAGTAGACCCAGGCTATGAAGTCCTCAGTTTTTTTCCTGAACTAAGACTCTTCAGACTCTAATTCTGCATATACCTGAGAAGTCCCGGGCATTCACATCTGGTTGTCATGTTGACGGGCCCACACCGAGCAGTGTGACCAAGTAAGAATCAGTCTGCCACATGTGAGCCTGCAGTCACGATGGAGCAATTCTGCAAATTAGCTGGGATCCACAGATCTGGGATTGGAAAGAAATCATTGGCAAAAGAAGAATATCTGTTGTCTGTGTGTTGGAAAAATTGTAGGTTAAACAGTGAAACTAAAATGTTTAGTGCTATTGTTGTTTTTCTGAGAAAGAAAAAAAAACCTGTTAATGGACACTAACCTGAGTGTTTCCAATGAGAAGTGGGAGGCCGTATGTTAGACCCTTCGTTACAGTCCCTGGTTCAGGGAATTACAGTTCACACATTTCACAGATGTGTACCTCCTCATATCCTGGTGTAAGAGTCACCTAAACAGCAGAAGCATTTCAGGGGACAGGCAAAACTAGGAATGTCCTTTATGCAGAGGACAGTCCTCTAATATGCAAAGGAACAGAGCAAAAATTGGGCGGAGGTTTGGGATGCCTGGGTGGCTCAGGGGTTGAGTTGAGCATCTGCCTTTGGCTCGGGGTGTGGTCCTGGAGTCCCGGGATCGAATCCCACATCGGGTTCCCTGTATGGACCCTCCTTCTCCCTCTGCCTGTGTCTCTGCCTCTGTGTGTGTGTGTCTCATGAATAAATAAATAAAATCTTTAAAAAAAAAAAAAAACAGGAGGAGGTTTGACTGAGACTTTTTTTAAGTCAACTGGCCAGAAAGGTAACTGTGAGTTTTGCTTTGTTTTATTTTCTCCTTACCTCCAGCCTTTCAAAGCAAAGCAAACAAACAAAATTGAATCATTATCAGCTTCATAATCTAGTTTCCCCTGAAACTTTTTGAGCCCTCACTATGTGCCATGAGCAAAGTTAAATGCTTTACATGCATTATTTCACTTAGTTCTCCCAACAACTCCAGGAAGTAGCTCCCATTACTTCATTTCCCCATTTTGCAGATGAAGAAACTGAGGCTCGCAGAGGGTTAAGACTTGCCCCAGGCCACACAAACAAGAAGTGGAGCCAGGATTCAATCTCCCATTCACTATACATGCACACTGGCCAATAACATCAGATTATTTGGGGTTAGAATTTTCCTTAAGGGTGGTAACTGGTGAGCCAGGAAGCAAGCATCCCCCAGATTCCATGGCCATCAGCAGCGAGTTCAAAATGTTTATTTCTCTAAAAGGAGCTAGCAACCCGGAAGAGTGGGAAAGGCACCCTTCAGCCCCTCATTTTTTCATTTTTCAAATACATGCTCAGGTTTGGAGTAAAACCTTACACCAAGTTGTACATATATATAAAGAAATCATATCTATATATGATGTTATATATATTATATTTATATATAATTTCTTTATAAAGAAATATATATTTATAAATTTATTTTTTTTAATTTTTTTTTATTTATTTACGATAGTCATACAGAGAGAGAGAGAGAAGCAGAGACACAGGCAGAGGGAGAAGCAGGCTCCATGCACCGGGAGCCTGACGTGGGATTCGATCCCGGGTCTCCAGGATCGCGCCCTGGGCCAAAGGCAGGCGCCAAACTGCTGCGCCACCCAGGGATCCCTAAATTTATATATTTATAAAGAAATATATCATATAAATATATAAATTATATATAAATATCGTTATCTATAATTATATGTACATAAAAAATTATATATATATGGGGGGAAAAGCTGAAATGTAAACATCCTTTCCTTCTCACTGTCCTCTAGATTTTGATTGGCGCAGTCATTGCCATGGGTTCAGCCGACAGAGACGGCCGCCTACACCCGGGAGACGAGCTTGTCTATGTTGACGGGATTCCAGTGGCTGGCAAGACCCACCGCTACGTCATCGACCTGATGCACCATGCAGCCCGGAACGGGCAGGTCAACCTCACTGTGAGAAGGAAGGTGCTATGTGGAGGTGTGTGGCTTAAGCCAACAGGGAGGTTTGGGGCTCAGGTAGTGAAATGCCTTTATGGGACATGAAAACAAAATTTTAAATCAAGGAAAAAAGACAAGGAAAAAAGCCAACCTAGCTATTCCAAATGTAACTCTGATTTTGAAAGTGCAGATTTTCACTCCACTCCAAGCAGATATTTTCAGTGTAGTCATTAAAAATTTCTCACAAGCTTGGGTTTAATTTCAGATGCATATGCTCTTTGCTCTTTGGTGGATGCTAGCTCTAAGAGGAACATTACGGTAGTGAAAAATACAGCTTTTGAAAATGTTCCTCCTTGTGTTTACAAACCAAGAACCACAGCATTTTGATACCATAATAAGGCAACTAGGCTGGAAAATTGGCCTCCATTGTAGAGCCTGATAAAAGGTAACAATATTACAAAAATATAGCTTGTACATCATTCTGAGAAAACACAATTCATTTACCTCCAAACTTATGAAACTGGTAAATTAGAAGTAATTATTCCCTTTGCAGCCATTTCCTAGCTTCAGAAAAGAATCCACCAAAGACTTCACTTTTAACAGACTTCACAGTCATAATAAGATTCAGTTTATCTCTGTCCACCATCATAATGCCCCCCAAAAAAGATTTATATTTTTATAAGTAGCTTTGTTACAAAAATCAGCTGTTTTTCATGATCTAAGCACTCAGTAATGTTGGCAGTAGGATCCCAACTGCCTGTGCTTTGCCCTGCGAATTGCAGGAGGAACAGCACCAGCGACAGTCGGTCACCTTCTGCCCTCGTGGCCACGGGCCTCTCGCTCAGCACCCCCGGCCCTCCTCATACAGGTAAAGAGGGACCTTGGCGGCATGAGCTCCCTCGTGTTACAGCTAAGGAAACAAAGGCCCAGAGGTCTGGTCCAGCAGTCTCCTTGCCCAGGAGTCTGCAGTGGGTCAGTGATAATGCCGAGGCTCTTAGCTCCCCAGCCAGTGCTTGTGGCTTTATTGCCACCTCGGGCCCTCTCCCATCCCACCCCCAGTGAATTCAAAGACGTGAGACCAACTGCTAGCAAATGCCACTCCCTCACATAAGTAGTCTTCTGTATGTGTTATCATTATAACACACCCGAATCAAAAAAGATAAGAAGTGGGGGGTGCCACTGGCTAATCACAGCTGTGAATAACTAGGGAAGATAAGGCTTATTAATTGAACTAAAAATCCTTTTTCTATTCAAGTCTTCTAGAAACCAGACTTTGATCAAGGGCAGTCATTTAAAAGGGCAAGCCAGAAGAATTGTCAGCCCTCACCAGTTCGAGACTGCCATATATCTTGGATCGTATGGAGGTTTTGCTAAGAAGTGCCATTCATCTTCAGAAATTCATGGCATACCACTTGACCCAAAGAAGTAAAACACCTTGAATTATGACTTATCCTTGGGCAAGATGCCAGGAGGAAGACAGTGTTTGCTTGGTTAACATTTAACTGTCTCTCTCCCTAAGAGTGATTTTTAATAAAAAGTTTGCTGTGCTATATGCTCTGTAACCCAAAGATAAATTAAAAAGATACCTGATTTACAAGGAAATATACTGCAAGGTGCAAAGCCAGTGCACCAACATAATTTCATGCTCCCCTTGCCACCAGCTGATTATTGCAAATTAAATTTTGTTCTAATCAATCCAAGCTATTGGAGTGTGTGCCAAATGCTGCAAAAACGTATTCTTGCAATTTGTGGATCATGTGACTTTGGTGAAGATGCTCTTTGCTGCAGTTCTTACCAACTTTACTCATTTAGGCTTTCGAGTGCATCTCAAGTGCATTTAATTTTTGAAAATGTTCGGCTGCAGACTGCTCGTTCACACCAGGAGAGTTTCCAAGTTAATTCAGCTCACTCTTCCTTGAAAGCTTCATCAGTATTGAAAATGATTAAGTTCAGGAAAGGATACTTTGATGGTGAAGTAAATGCCTAGAAGTAGAATGGGACAGATTTTTTAAAGGCATAGCAATAGCAAGGCAACTTTTCTTCATAGCTGCTGTTTCTCCAACAGCGAAAAGGAACAGCCACAAATGGATATGATGGTGGAAATGCCTTCTCAAGGGCTGTTAGCATTATTATTACGCTTTCCCAAGCAAAGGCAGTGGGAGGTATGAGCTAGTTTGTGACAAGATGGTTCAAAGTTGAAGGGACGTGAGCAAGCAGCTTGCAAAGACACAAAAGATGGGTAAGAAGAGGGACAGAGTCGTCGCCTTCCTGCACAAAGGAGCCGTGTCAGGATCTGGGAAGAAGGGAGGTCGTAGAACTTAAAGCTTTCACCCTGGTGCTTGTACAAATGTCCTGTCCCTCCTCAGAAGCCACTGGGCACTGGCTTCCAAGTTAATGCTCAACAGAAAACCACTTCTATTAGGAGAGACACCACCTAGTTAGTTCCATTTGGGCAGAAATTAACACAAAACCCTGCAAATATTAAAATATTTTTAAAGTGTACACACTAAAGATAGAACGGCCAAGTTCTTAAGGAGGCAATGACAATCTAGATCCTCAAAAAGGAGAAATCTTGGAGTGAAGAAAGGAAACATCCAATAATACATCCAATTTCAGTTACCAAATTGTTATAGCCCAGACCTTCCACTTTAAACTAGTTTTGAGAGATGTCTTATCCATGCCACCGGCTCCAATGTTTAGCTGTTTTTCCCCAAGGATATTAGAAGAGTGGCTTTAATTATTACACTGAAGTATAAATATTTATATGTTGAGTAGCTCAGCTTTGAGATGTTCAACCTAATGACACGTTATTTTGAATACACACTGTTCATCTGAGGGAAGGGTGCCTGAGGAATTTCCTAATGTGTCAATCTAGAATTGATGTGAAAGAGCATTTTATGACTTAATCAAACACGTTAGAGTCCGTCTTAAAGCTCTCCATCTGTATCTGTTCTCTAACATCTCAGGGAAAGTCTAACTCTTGGCTTAATGCCAAGAAAGAGAAGGTTTTCTTGGCAGCTGGCTGAAACGCTTAGCCATTGTTTAGAGTGCCAGTGGGTTCCCTGGTCCTGGTTACTAAGCTTTTTTTGTCGATTCTAAACACGTCCCCATCTTCTTTGTCCTTGAGCATGTCACCCATGTAAATAAGTTGTCCGCTTTGATGAGGATAGACCAAGAGTGCACAAACCCACATGCCTGCAGGCAGGCCAGCCCCTGGCTTTGGCAGGGCCACAGCCTGTGGGCTGCTCCCTCCTCCGTCGGGCCCCATGAGGGGGCACATTGCATGTGGACAGTCCAGCCTGTGCCAGCATACCCCATAGCCTCGGCCATGCTTCAGGACAAGACATCTACCGTGCTGCCATGCTCCTGGGGTACAGCCCAGAGAAGAGGCCCAGGCACACCCTGGAAGCAGGCAAGCTCTGTTTATGAGAGGGCCCTAGAGTCCTGGTACCCAGCATGTGATCTGGAAGGGAAACTAGGGTTCTGATGGAGCCCGTCACTTTGGCCCTGCATATTCCTCGCTCTACGGGTAAATGAGTAAGACAGGAATTTGCAGGAGGCACTGGGGGGTTGTTGGCACCGTGGTGGCTTGCAAACACAAATCTGATAAAGGGAGCAGCCGCCACCCAGCTCTAGCTATTAACTGCCAGATATTTCAAGAGAAACTGGAAATCCCTATTTCTGTAAAATCTCCCTTTTGAAAAACATTGGCAATCAATTTTAACAATTACCAGAGTATAGGCTGGCCCTGGACACAAATAATGGGAGAGTCTACAGATGAGGAGCAGCCCCTGACCAGTGGTTGACCGTTCTCATTGAAACCATCTCACCTGGATGGCATTGCCAACAATGCCCACCTTCCCAAACAGAGACCTCTTCCAGTCAGCTCAGTGATGATTTCCAGGATGACTGGTGAGGACAAAAGAGACGCTCATCCTAAAAATTCATTATTTGGCTTGAGTAGATACTAATTGACCGAATTCTGTACACCCATCTGTGCGAGTGCCAGGAGGATGAGTCAGGGATGCTGGAAGTTAGTGAATTAAAAAAAAAAATGCATGTCGTATTTAGTCACTTTGTCACATTCACTGTATTCTTCTAAAACAACGCTGTTGTTTTACCAGGAAGGGTTGTTGGCAAAAAGATGGTCTCATTTGGGTCTAGAGCCAGCTGAGTAGAAAAATAACGTGGAATCAATTCTCTCCCTCAAAATCTACCATTGGAAATCTTCTTAGCTCCCTGGTTTTAAATGTGTTCATGTAGTTAAAGACGAAGAACTTTGTTCTAGAGGTTGAAAGAGAAGTCCGAAAGCAATAGAATGGTATTCTCTTAATGTTTTGGACTCTTTCCCTTCTCCAGGGAGCACTCGTGTTGATCAGTCTTTCTTCCTCTAGAAACTGGCAGAGCCACTCCCAGCCACTTACTGCAAAGACAGATCCTTTTCCTTTGTTGCTGCTTTACTGACAAGCACAGCCCTCAACCCCCTAAAATATGACAGCCGGAAAATGAGATCTCTCTTGTCAATGCCTATGACATTTAGTTACTGATCTGGTCCAATAACTCGGGGAGATTTTCAATTTAATGTTGCAGCTTCATAATTGTTTGTTTTTCTTCTTCCTGGCTATCTCTAATCACTTTATTTCCAACTTGCACAAAGACCGATAAAGGACACGTGCTTCACCAAGACAGTAACAGCTTGTCTTCGGTTGATATTTTCTCGTGGGGAGGGTACATCTTACAGGCAGTAAATTAAATTCTGGCAGAAAAGAGGGAAAGGCCTTGACCTTGACATTTTGCTCTTTTCTCACCTCAGTATTTCTTACAGACGAAAAGCATCCATTTGTTTTCTTTAATTAAAACCTGATTAATTAAATCTTACAGAAAAATTCAAATTCATCAAATAATAATAAAAAGCAGCCTGGGTCTTATTCATTCTGCTGTTACAAACAAAGAAGTGAATACGTTTCAGCATTAAGACAATTTTTTAATCTGAGTATATGAATAAATGCAGCTCCAAAAAATCTCTTGTAGTCTGTGTTCTTTCTCCCTGATTTTTGAAATGATCTTGAGTTTTGAAATGAAATGACTTTTCATTTCAGAATGGAACTGCAGCTTATCAAGATAAGAACCTTCACTGGAACTTTTGCTAATTTTTTAGTAATTAGTTTTTACAATTATTTGTGACTCTCCATATGAGACACCTACCAGAGCTCAACATAGGAGACCATACCTAGAGACCCAAAAAGGAATCATTAATTGTGATTACTTTCCTTCTTACTGTTTCTCTGTTCCATAAACATCCTCTAAGCACACTAATCAAAGTATAAGATGGAGATGAAACAGCTCTATTTTTAATAACAGTGTTCTAGGGTACCCGCTTCAGTTCTTTAATCAGAATACCGAAACCTAGGTATTAAATTAAAATGACAAAATTCTTTCTCGGTGACAGATGAACTTTCATTTTTAAAAAGCAGCTTCTCTTGGCTGCCAACTTTCTATCATTTTTCCCTGTAAATAAGCTTGTTTTCTCATGGAAGTATTGGTTTGGTTTATCTGGCTGATAATAGAGTATATTTTGTAATAATACAGAGTATAAATGAGCAGTGCCACTGACACCTCTCTCAGAGATTCAAAACTCATCATCCGTTGGCCTGACATCATTGTTAGATTTGAACCTAGAATGAGTGAATAAAAGAAGGATCCTTTAAGAAAGACATTTCCCATCTACACCAGGTGAATTAACACTTTTGGGCTAACAGAATATCACAAAATTCAATAAAACTGTGGCTCTTATTAAAATTATGATAGGTCCCTTTCCATGGACGTCCTGGGCTGTTAAGTTAGCCCCACTTACCGTTCCCCTCCAGCAGCATTGCTCAATGGTGGCCTGGAAACCTCTTTGGGATTCCTACGCCCAGTCTTCCTAAAAACACTTTCTACATGTAGGCGCTGAAGATTCATAGTTTTTGCAAGTTCTTTAATTCCTGTACACAATGTAGTTTAAAAACTGTCCACTGTTTTATAATCTTCTCTGAATAATTACTGTTATGCAACTAAGAAGCTCAATATCTAGGGGCTCCTGGGTGGCTCTGTCAGTTAAGCGTCTGACTCTTGGTTTTGGCTCAGGTTGTGATTCCAGGGTTGTGAGATCGAGCCCCATGTGGGGCTCCCTGCTCAGTGGGAGTCTGCTTCCCTTCTATCAAATGAATGAATAAATTTTTAAGAAAAAAAAAAGAAGAAGAGGCTCAATATCTAAAGGCATTGTCCCAGAGGGGTTACAGATTTAACAAAAAAGGAAGATAGGAAATAGTAGCAGCACAGCAGAAGCTGATGAGGGGGTTAGCTATGTTTTCTGTGAAGAATGGAATGGGGCTTAGACCTGGGTGCTCCATACCTAGGTAAGTAGCCCTATCTACTCATGGGGATCGGAAGCCAGTCAACCAGTCTTGTAACAATGCCAATGTCTAGAAGTGCACCTAGTACACGCAGGCACTCATCAAGACCCTTGGTGAATAACTGAGTGCCTGCACACAATGTGTATTGCAGGGGAACCCTGCCCAGAGAATGGGAGGAGTCCAGGCTCCGTATCAACCCACCACAGCTCTCCACGCAGTGACTACGCAACCTACGCCAACAGCAACCATGCTGCCACAAGTAGCAATGCCTCTCCTCCTGAAGGCTTTGCCTCACACAGCCTGCAGACCAGTGATGTGGTCATTCACCGCAAAGAGAACGAAGGCTTCGGCTTTGTCATCATCAGCTCCCTGAACAGACCTGAGTCCGGATCCACTATCAGTAAGTGATGGCTTCCCTTGCCTTTGAATAAGAGATCTTGTGTTCATTTGTTCTGGTGGGAGGGATACTGGACATACAGAGCAGAGGGCTGCTGTAGGCATCTTGTGGAGACAGAAACTCTCAGGCTGTGGCCATGAATAAGACGTCCTTAACCTATGATTAACCAAACGTTGCTGAAACTTTGGCTTAGGAAGAATGCAAGATTGCATCTAATGTCCCCTGGACCCCACAACCCCCATAAAAGCTCTGAATTCATATTTATTTAAGTGGGAAGAAAATAAAACCAAGTGGTGTGAGAGTGTTGGTATGAGGGAAGGAGAGCTCCTTCCGGATGGATAGGATGAAACCAGATATGCAAAGCATCTGGGGGGAAAGCAGTCCAGGAAGCAGCTCAGCATTCAAGAACTCTGCAGAACTCAGTGTGGCTATGATAGAATGGACATGAAAGAGCAATGTGAGACCAAGACAGAGGACTAGAGAGGAGGCAGGCTGCACAGGGCTTCACAGGGCCATGGGGAAAAGTCTGGACTGTAGTCTAAGTCCATGGGAACCATGGAGGGGGTTAAGCAATGGACATAAACCCTGACTTACATTTTTTAATGAAATCAGGAAAAAAGAGCAAGAATGGAAGCCTGAGACAGAATTGAGAGGTCCTAAAAAGGGCCCTGCAGGTGTAGAGATCCTGGAACCTTCCCCTGGTGTAGTAGCAATGGGTGGGGCAACATCCATGACTTCACCTAGGGCTCCTCCAAATCTATGAGTCTGTACAACAGGTAACAGTCAGCAGTTGTATTTCTCTTAAAATTGGTCATCCTGTAGATTCTGTCTTCCTTGGTAGTTTTCCTTTGGGCAACATTATTCCAGAAGTTACCCGGCTACCAGCAGGTAGTAGGACCGAATAGGCAATAGGAAACTTGCCCATTTTTCACGTTGAAGTGATTTAGCCCAAAATATTATGGGTAGAAACATGGAAATAGAGAGCATTGAGACAAAGTTAATTGAGTCATGTGGTCCTAAAATTCTCATAAATTGTGATTGTTTCCAGCACATGGGGTAATGGGGAGTTGTCAAACAGTACTCAAGAAATCAAATCATTGAGGACGAATAAGCACTTTTTATGATACAGTTAATGTTCCCAAAACACCGCCAGGACTGAATGGAAAGAAATGGCCCTGTTTCACTTTACCGTTGAAAATTCAAGAATGAAAACTATAGAGGTGCGTAACCTCAGTGAGTAGGTGCAGAAGCCAAAGTGCATACATCTGAAAGTACAACTTCATTTCTCTTTTCCTGCCCAAAATGAAGAAATAAATCCAATCTTTAAGCAGAGAGTAAAAGTAAGATTATGTCAGAACGATAGATTCACCGGGATTAAAAGGACATAAGACTGAAGATCTTCATGAATTATATAAACAGCGTTCCAATAATGTAGACTTGGGAAAAAAATGTTCACAGAGAGCTTTTGTAGCTATTCCACTCAGGCAGATTGCAGGGTATGTAAAGGACCGAAATAAAAATAAAAAATATGCCACCACAATGAAAGTGCTAACCATGCAGGTAAGACCTCAGATTTCTTTGAGGTGTGGTGGCATTATTGCTAAGTGCATAGAGAGAAATGAGTGTGTGTGCACACATTGCACTTACTACATGGAGAAGCCACAGCTGCTTTTTCTATTGCAAATAAGATCCATGCATAGGTAGATTTGGAAAACAACACGTACAAATGCTTATAATTAATGTGAATTTGTCTTCCTACCTTGGTGACATTAGACTGACCTCAAAAGAATAATTGTAGCCATTTTCAAAATGGAATTATTTTACATCACCCTAGAGAGTGGAAATATATTCATGATGCTTCCTGGCTTCTTTTTTCACATATTTATTTCTTTTCAATTTAAGGAGTTTGAAATGCAGGTTGCCCACATGTTCCGTGGGAAGAGCAGTGATTATACTGATGGCCTGTAGCGTTTACAAGATATAATTTGCAGCATGAACCTAAAAGCTTTCTGAACCTGATGCTGTTTCCTACTTAACTTCTCTTATAATTTGGAGCTCTCATTTTAAAGAGAAAGGCTAAGTACCTCATGAATGGTAAAGAGCCATCCTCATGTCACATATCCATCCTCAGAATATTAAGGGTCCTTAATTCTATGAGTCTGGAGAGCATGATAGTATCACGTACTCAGGAGTCACAATCATTCCTGGGGTTTGGGTCATTTTTCTTTTCATGTCTTACCTGAGCCCAAGGACCATGAATGTGGTCGTGGTTTTTATCAAGGCTACCGAGCCTTGGTGTTGGCAGACAGAGCACTCAACTGGCTAAAATCACACTGCCTGGATTCGAAAACGTGCTTCGTCATCTCTTAGGTGTGTAACCTTGAGGAAGTTACATGACCTCTTTGGGCCTCAGTTTCCTTGACTGTAAAGACAAGATAATGGACCTATGTCGAGGGGTTGCTCTGAAGGTTAAATGAATTAGTAGGTGGAAGTGCTCAGTCCTGCAGCCTGGGTCAGGGGTGAGGGACACACGAGTCCTGCTGAGTGTGCCTTTCTTTGCTGAGGCTTTAGGCTCTAAGTCTTCCCAGAATTCACTAGCCAATAAACTAGAAAACATCACAGGAAACATCCAAGTTCAGGCCCAAAGCAGTGCCTTCTAGAACCTCCTACAAACACTATGTCTTTATTGACTGTATCAGAGAAGACAGGAGAGATGGGGAGCACAAATGTAAATCTCACCACCCTGAAGGGGGAAAAAGAGTTGCTTTCTGTAACTTTCTCAGTCTGGGCCAAAATTTTGCCACACATGCCAGATGTTCCATCAGTTGAGAACATGGGCGGTGGGGTTCCTGGTTTATTTATTACCTGGCATTCAGTCCGGCTCATTTCCAAGCCTCAGATATTTTTTTTTCAAAATATTATTTCCCAAAATATTAAGAAGCAATGTCCTTTATGTTTGTTACTGTAATTAAGGAATGCACTGCTTCCGTCCAAAACCCATAACCCAGGAGACCAAATACTGCTGGGCAGCAGGCAAGACTCCGAAGCCTCCATCCGAGGTCCAGGAATATCCTTCCTGATTTAAAGTGGGAATAAGCAAGCTTCCTGAGCATTTTTGTCCCATTGTCCAAAATATTAAGTATTTTCTTCAGACCTTAAAATTGGATTCATCGGGCGGCGCCTGGGTGGCTCACTGGGCGAAGCATCTGACTCTTCATCTCAGCTCAGGCGATGATCTCAGGGTCCTGGCATCGAGCCCCACGTCAGGCTCTGCCCTCAGCCTGCGAACTGCTCGTCTTTCTTCCTCTGCTTTTCCCACACTCTCTTCCTCCGTCTCTTTCTCGTTCTCAAATAAATAAATAAATAAAATCTTTTAAAAAAAATCAGATCCAAGAGAAAACAAAATGGTTTGCAGACCAGAGCCTAGGATAAGAGTAATTTGTAACAGGCAATTGAATTTTAAATTCTTAAAAAGATTCTAACAAAGGTTTGTATACAAAGACGTTCATTGCCATATTAATGAGAAACAGAATATCAGGAACAATGTTAGAAGCTTCTCAAAAACTGGAAATTTGGGGATCCCTGGGTGGCTCAGTAGTCTGGCGCCTGCCTTCGGCCCGGGCATGGTCCTGGGGTCATGGGATCGAGTCCCATGTCGGGCTCCCTGCGTGGAGCCTGCTTCTCCTTCTGCCTGTGTCTCTGCCTTTCTCTCTTGTCTCTCCCTCCCTCTCTCTCTCTCTCTCTCTTTCTCTCTCATGAGTAAATAGATAATATCTTAAAAAAAAAAAAACCTGGAAATTTGGTATATTTGGGAAGTTCAAGGCATTTACCGCCTTCAACTAACTCCATTGTCACCGAGGTCTTTGTACACAGGATAGAGAAGACTCAGGTAATTGTCTGACTTCGAGTGGAGCAGATGCTTTCTCTGGAAAGATGGCCCCATGGCCATGCACAGTAGGGTTGACAGGTTGGTCTTTGGGCCTCTCCAGCTCAAGGCTGAACCCTGACATCCAGGTTTTATTGCAGAGCTATACCTGTCCTCCTAGGTGCGTTCTGCTGTGCCCACCCACCACAAACCCACTTTCCCACCAGAGGTTCCCAGGAAGGGCTTTGGCACAAATGATGAGATAAAAGTAACCCTTAGTCTCCTGCTTTTCTGTAGTTTGTCAAGAAGCTTATGTTGGCATTTACGAGGTAGACACACATGGGCACTTAGACATCAGTGGGAGAGCGGGGTAGCTTGTGGAAAGGATTGGTGCACTGAGATGCAAGCAGCGAGGCTGAACATGCTCGGGACAGCGGCCACAGCAACAATCTAGGGCCATCTTTTTGGCCCTTCCTGCCTTCGTTCCATTGTCTTAACAGTCTGGACTCTGGTTTCTGTGGGTGAATGGTGGGGCCTCAGGAGCTACAGCATCAGGGGCTGAGCCATTCTGGGGGAAGGTCAGTGTGAAGCGAGCACCAAATATTGGGGTGCATGACAAAGGAAGCAAGGTTAGCAGATGGAGACTGATAATGGGGGGAGGATTTCATGATAATTATGGGAGCATGGGGGTGCTCTGACCTGTTCCAAAGCGCTAGGTGATAGGCAGGCTCTGTTGCAGACTAAGTGACTAGTGAGGCCTGGGGCCCTCAGGGAAGCCCCCCTCAGCAGGCCAGAGTCCCCATAATAGAAAAGGGGTGAGCCAGGAGCCCCTCCCCACACATCCCCCTGGCCATTGACCTTAACTTTGTGTATCAGAACGCTCTGCACACCTTCAAGCCACTCTTGCCTTACAGAAGAGAAAAAAAAAAAAAAACAAATAAAAAGATGCAAGTGCATCACCGGTCAGCACACTGCTGGCTCATGAACAATCCTTCAGCTCTGGGTTGGTGCTAAAACTCTTTGTTTCCACGTGTGTGCTTTCTGTGACACAGCTTGGAGTCCAGACTTGGTCATTGTTAACTGTCCCTCAGGCCCACTGCAATCTGACATTCTAGAACGAGTTAGTTGTCTTTGGTAA